TTGTCTGACCTGGCTATCTTCCAGGTCCTGGTCAAGCTCAACATGTCCAAAGTGGAATTCAAGTTTCTACCCCAAACTTGCTTCCTCTCTGTTTCTTTGTTTGAGTAAATGTCCCCCTCTGCCACCTTTTCTCACCTCTTCTCAAGCCGGAGACCACCCATCCACTGTCTTCTTCCTCTCTTTCCATTTCCTATCAGTGTAGTAAGTTTTTCATAAAACTTATGGGCATTCAATCAAAACCCTCATCCTTTATCACGAAATTGTGTTCATCCTATGTTTTTGATATCAAATGCTTTATTCATTCCTTCATTCAGATGGAGTTTGCTTTTGTCACCCAGGCTGGAGTGCAATGGCGCGATCTCAGCTTACTGCAAACTCTGTCTCCCGGGTTCAAGTGATTCTCCTGCCTGAGCTTCCCGAGTAGCTGGGATTACAGGCATGTGCCACACCACCCAGCTAATTTTGTGTTTTTAGTAGAGACAGGGTTTCACCATGTTGGCCAGGCTGGTCTCAAACTCCTGAGCTCAGGTGATCCTCCCGTCTTGGCCTCCCAAAGTTCTAGGATTACAGGCATGAGCCACCATGCCCAGACTGTGTAGTATGTTTTTCATAAAACTTTATAGGCATTCAATCAATACCTTCACCCTTTATCATGAAATTGTGTTCACCCTATATCTTTGACATCAAAATGCTCTTTTTAAATGAAATGTTGGAGATGGTAGATGGCAGCTGTTGTCTGTTTGTGTGTATTTCATATGGTGAAGGGACACTGCTCGTTGCTACTCAAACTCAGCGCCCCTTTCCACCTCCAACAGGAGCTGTTTTGTTCAAGCGTCCACCCCACCCCCTGATTCGGAGGGCAGGCCTGGTGAGGCTAAGCCAGCGGTCCTCAGAGAGTGGCCATGAGACCCTTTCAGGGGGTCTGGGAGGTCAGAACTATTTTTATACTAAGCCATTATGTGCCTTTTTCGCTTTCATTCTTTCACAAGTATACACTGAAGTTTTCCAGAGGCGAGCTGTCATGTGATATTGCAACAGATTGAATGCAGAGGCAGATATGAGAGGCCAGCTGTCTTCTATTAAACTGGAAATAAAAGGGATTTGCAAAGATGTGGAACAATGCCACACTTCTTACTGAATTCTTAAAGGCCATAGTTTCAAAAAAAATAAAATATGTTATTGATGTTAACATGTAATACGATTGTTATTGTTATTTTTAAATGAATTGATAAATATTTTTTAAAATTTTCAGTATTAATTCCTACTATAACACTTATCTACAGATGTAACTCACCTAAAAAAAAAAAGCTCTCTGGAGTCATCAATAATTTTTAGAGTTTTAAAATGTTTCCATGTCAGAAAAGTTTGAGAACTACTAGTTTAAGCTGGTGCATGACAGCTATTGTTCATGTAAGTGACCCAAATTAGCCCACTCAGATTCGATGGTGGAAAGATTTATATTCCATGCTTGGGGCAGAAGTTTCTCTGCTTTCTCTTGTTGAATGTGAAAGCTTTTAGTTTGCATTGCTCTTGGTAGCTTTGTGTAGCCAGGAGGGACCATATAGGGGCTGTAGATAGCAGTGTAGAGAGAGGGGAAGGTGACATTCTGGGGCCTAGAGAATGTCACTAGACTGCTAATGTGACATTGTATAAAGTCGCTCTACCTTTGCTCTTCCAGTGACATGAGAAGATTTGTCTCCTTATTGTTGGATTCAGGTTGAGTTGGGGGCTCCATTACTTGCCTCAGAAGCTCCCCTGGGTGAGCATTTGGAAAATGAGTTGGTATTCCCAAGTAGGACTCAAACGTTCGGGGACATTTTACTGTTCTCTATAATCTGTGAACCACCACATTAAATGACCCTTGGAGGTTTCCAATCATGAGGAACCACCACGAAGGAAGAAAGGGGCCGAGATGGAGACGCAGTAGAAGGAATTGAGGCTATGCAATCAGACAGAGCGAAAAACTCTTAGAAAATAAGGGTGCCATGGAATTAACAGGCCTGCTAAGTCCTCTGACAGCCACGTCTCATTCCCTCCCATGTTTCCAGACCCCACTCCTCCACTTCTCTAGCTTCCTTCTTTGTAAACCAAACTGTCAACATCTGTTTGGAAGAGCAGACTCATGGTGACAGCTGGGAGAATTTGACCCACTGCTTGACAAGCGGTGGATTAAACTTGAGGAGAGGCTCCTACACCAGATATTCATGTCACCAAATTGAGAAGGAAGAAGGGCTGGGGTGGGCAGGAAGCCTGAGGCATCTGGGGCTTGTTCCCAAGACCTTCCTTTCCTTCTGATGGTGATTGTGCTTGTCTCTGTTTTGCCACTTTGTTCAGGACTTTCAAAGGATCTTGCATATAAATTTGGGTGCAATGTGGGTGATGCCCATGGTAGAGAAATCACTTTGCACATCTTTTGAAAATAGCATCCTTCCCTTTTTAAGCAGTGCTCTTGCCTGTTAAGATAAGTATGGAGCAAAGGAGGAATTACTGGTTCCCTCCCTCCCTCCTTCCCTCCCTCCCTCCCTCCCTCCCTCCCTCCCTTCCTTCCTTTCTTCCTCCCTCCCTCCCTTCCTCCCTCCCTCCCTCTCTTTCTCTCTTTCTCTTTCTTTCTTTCTTTCTCTCTCTTTTTCTTTCTTTCCCTTTCCTTTCTTTTCCTTTCTTTCTTCTTTCTTTTTCTTTTTCTCTCTCTCCTTCTCCCTTTCCTTCCCTTCCTTTTCCTTCCCTTTCCTTTCTTCTCTTTTTTCTTTTCTATTTTGCTCTTTTCTTTTCTTTCTGTAAGATAGTCTGTGTCCATGGCAGGCATGTCCTGGGAAGGCTGAAGTGATTGTGTTGGGTTAAAAATCTCAAGAGGGTGGAAAAGTTTTGTCTGATTTTTTATTTTCTTCTTGGTGGGCAGCAAGATGGGGAGGGAGCAGGAAGGGAGCTGGGAACTTGAGAGGACAACTTAGACTTTTCTCTGATAAACTGCAAGTAGGACATTCAAGGTCTCTCTTGTTAGAGACCAAAGTTGGATAGATGCTCCTTGAACTTTTCTTCTTCTTCTTTTTTTTTTTCGTTAAACAAAAACTGCTACAAAGATACAAAGAACACCAGGCTTGGAATAAGCCCTGGGGAGACTTTATGTCCAAGTTAGGATAATCAGAAAGCATTTAATTTGCTCAGTTCTGGAATAAAACCAAGGCTATATTCAGCAATATTCAAAACCAGTTAAGGTCAGCAACTGAGATGCCCAGTTGTATTTCAGTGTTTGCATCTATTTATGTTTTACATTGTACTCTAAATCATGTACTTTAATTTCAAAAAACATAATTGTCATATGTACTTATTTTAAATCATGGTTTAAAATTTTGAAAAAGAATAAGGGATGGTAAAAGCATTTTCTAATCTTCATTATTTACTTCACTCTCAGAGGCCTTTAAAGCCAAAGTGTCTGTTAGTGAATTAGAATAAAACCACAGGATAATTACTTTCTGGGCTACCAACGCAACATGAGTTGCTTTCCATTGTGAGAATGCTGAGAAGTTGCCACAAAATTAAACCAATTAGGATAATAAGGGGAGAAGGAGAAGATTAAATTTATTTCCGTCTGATTTAACTTATTAATTTCTCAGGGGAGAAGGTTTTCCCTGCCATTGACCTTTATGTTTTAACCCATGAGCCCCTTCTGTTCTCAAGATGTACTAGGGATTAATTCATACCCTGTCTGCCTGCTGGGTCTTTTTGGTTGACTCAAAAGCCTCTGACCTTAGGAAGTAGGTTTGAAGAATTAGAATCGGTGAACAAGTTAGTCAGTCAACGCATTTGTTTTGAGCCCCTACTATTTACCAGGCATATTCTATAGTCTAAGGATTCGGAGTGAACAAATCAGAGCTCCTGATCTCCCAAAGCTTATGTTTTAATGGGGGGAAAACAGATAATAAACACGTAAGCAGATAAATCAATAAAATAATTCGTAAGTGCCACAAAGAGGATATTATATAATAGGGAAATGTAATAGAAAGTCACTTCCCAGCAGGCAGGACAGTAAGGGCAAATGCCTTGGGGTGGGGGATATATTTGTGTTTGAGAGAGACCAGCAGTCCTTCATGCCTAAGGGCTAAAGTGGGGCAGAATCTACAATAGTTCATCATGGCCTGTGTAGACATACTTCTTCTCTGCCTGGTAAACAGGAGAAGTTTACTGTTAAGAAAAATGTCAAGCAGGGATTTGTTGAATCTGCTGGCTGGTTGTGCTGTTGGTTCTGGCCAGACAGTAAAGAAATTGGTGACTTCTCCTTCCTGGCACCTTAGGGGATCTGGTTTTTTGATTAGGTTTAGGCCTTTGTTTAACCATAATTACATTGTTAAGGGTGGTCACCTCTTCTTCGGGGATTCTTCCATTTCTAGATGCAGACAGTGGAATCCAGTCCAACGAGTACAGGATGAAGGAGATGTATAAAGAGGTATAGATGTATCACGGACCAACTTGGAGGACTAAAGAAAAAGAGTCTAGGCTAAGCTTCCGGGATGGCTCCCAAAACCACACTGCAGAATTGGGCCCCCACAGGAGCTGCTGCCTCTGCCATGATCAGGAAGCTGCCTGTTGAATCGGGAAGCCAGAGCGACAGTGGCTGCTCCATGTACCTGCCTGCAGACTGGTCAGCTCCAGTGAAATGGACATCCCACGTGGGTCCTCTCTTCCCTCATAGCTTGATTCCAAATCGGAGTCTTAGAAGGAATGTATCTGGTGAATAGGTCTCAGATCACATCCAAAAGTTTCACTGCTTGGGCATCTTAGCAATGTAGTTTTTCGGTTTCTAGCCTCTGCAGTAGAGGAAAGCCTGCTAGAACTGGAATGGGGTCTGGGCCAGGCAATCTACAGAACCGGCCACTTCAACTAAGCCAGGGTTTACACCACCTGCATTCTGACACTGGGGCTCATTCAGTGACTCCAGCAGTTTTTTGCATCTGTAGGCCAAGACTGGGACAGCTGTAAAACCACAACCAACTTTCTTTTTCAGATTCCGCAGTCAGGATTGTGTGCCCCTACGCAAGATTTTATTTAGGTCAGGCTGGTTTCACCGGACAGAGGTCATAGCTACTTGGAGAAGAAGTTAATCAAAAGAGATGCCGTTTAGACTCTGAACCTCAAGAGTGAGTAGACCATGGTTGTTTTTGCTCATTTTTACAGCTGCAGTGCTAACATAGAGCTTGACATACAGAAGGCATTCAATAAATATTTATTGAGTAAATAAATGAATGAATAAAAGAAGAATAGGGTGAGGGGCCCTTTGACATTAAATATAAGGTAAGTTCATTTGAGCCTGTGTTTGTTGAACCAATGCTAATAATGCTTGATGTGTGCCAGGCACTGTCCTAAGTGCTTCGCAAATATTAACTCATTTAATTCTCATAGTTTCTCTATGAGATATGTACTATCGTTTATCCCATTTAAAAACCGACATACAGAGAAGTCATGTTACTCGCCCAAAGTTACACAGATACGTGGTAGAGTTAGGAGTCTACTGGCCTGGGTTGCCTCCAATATCTTCTGTTGTTACAGGACGTACCTATTATTGGTTTGGCACATGTGGAGGGGCCTGAGTGCGTGCATGTGATATTATGAAAGTAAATGGGTGCAACAATGTAGGTAGGGTTTGCTAGTGTTGATACATTGCAATCCACCCGTCCTTATTCCCTCTCTATACTGCCTCCCAGTTTCTTCCAGTCTCCTACAGGCTATGCCTGCTCATGTATCTTTTCCCTTGTCCCTTTCCCATTCCTGTGCTGGACTGGGTTTCAGTGCTATTTTTGCAGCCAAGGTGGGCCTCTCTGATGCCCTGCTGAGCCGCCAGGAGGCTGCGCCTGCAGAATGAATCCCAATGCAGGGGTGGGGTTGGAAGCAGCATCCACAGTCCTCTTGGTTCAGTTCAGAGTTGGAGACGTCTGACTGCCCTGGCTGCTGTGGGTTCCCAGAGCTCTGTGGTTTCTTCTGGAAACACTGGGGAGACCACAACAGCAGCACCGAGCATCCCATCCCCACAGCCCACCGGGTCCAGTGGCCAACCTTCTCCTAGGCCAGTTTATTTTGGGTCATGGGTGTCAGAAATGAGTGCTGTCAAGGCTTTTCCGGTCCAGGAGAGCGTGGTCTTTGCAAATGCTCTGCAGAGCTGGCTCTTCTCGCAGGAGTGGTGTGGATTATTTGCAAAAACAACAGAGACTCTGCTAGCATTCCCACAGATAACACAGGGCTGCAGAGGAAAACATCCTCTTTGCCAGCACAGGCAACAGAGTAGGGGGACGTAGGGGCAGAAAGAAAGGGTGTGCTGTTTCTTCAGAGTTCACCCCATCCATTCCCTGCCTCCAAATAATTCAGCTTACATAGTTCCTAAGCTTAAATGGACCTCTTGAGGTACCCTCCCTTTGCGAAAGCACCTGGCAGTGGGGCAGTCCTTCTGATGTTTAACAGCTGGCCCTGCTGCTTCAGGACTACCCTTTCTGTTTTTCAGGGATGTTCAGCCCAGTGTGCTTCAGATATAGAGGAAAAGTCAACCGTGCATGGATCTGCTGCCCCTGACAAAGGATTCCCACCCTGGGAAGGGGTGCAGGCTTCCTGTGTGCAGGTTTGGAAGAGCCCCTGTGACTTGATAGCAGGCCCACTAGACTCAGGGCCCTTTGACTCCTGATCTTCCCCTCTTTGAGTCACAAAACTATATACCCTGCTCAGTCCTTTTAAAGCATATTTTTTCCCCTTGGATTTTTTTCTTTCTTTGGTGTTTATGTGAACTGGTTGAACCCATCACGTGGTGAGTCCATGTTTATATTTGCAGAAGCACCGCCTGGGGAAGTTTTGTTTGTATAGAGGTCATCTCATCTCTTGGGCTTGGCTGCAGCCCCAGCTGGGGTTTCGGCAGCAGTAGCTGAACACACACCAGGGACTTCTTATTTCTCTCTCTGCCCTGGGTTCCAGGCTCCTGGTTCCAAAGGCTGGTGCTTCCTAGGGCAGGAAGAAGGGGCACACTCAGGAAAGAGCAAGATCATCTTCCTTCCACCCCATGCTCAACCCAACCTAGAGTTTTTTCAGGATATGACTGTCTCCTTTCTTACAACCCGACTGCTTTCCATGGTCTGAAAGCTAGACTTAGATTGGTAGAGTAGAGGGTAGGATGTAGGGATGTGCTGTTCTGTTGCTACTCTCCCTTTTACAGTCAGTATTCTAGGATGGCTGAGACCACGAGCTTTGGAGTCAGACAGAATTGGGTTGAAATCATGTCTTTGCCAACTACTAGCTGTGTGACCTTGGACAATACCTCTAAAGCTCAGTTTCAACATCTTAAATGAGAAAATAGTATCTACACCTTTAGATGGTCAGCAGGATTAACTTAGGGCATGAGTATGAAATGTTTCTAATTATGATAATGATGATCATGGTAATAAATAACAACACTAACTATGATAGCACTAAAAAATGACAACTTCCCTCTATCCTTGTTTCCCTCCTCTTTTAAAGCAGTGTTTCTCAACTTTTTAAAATTATCACTCCCCTAAGGAGCCTTGTAAGACATTGATTCCCATATCATTTCCCCTTCTCCCCCATATACTCTATGTCTGTTAATATAGTGTGACCCTTTAGAGACTATGAATCATTGTGATAGCTAAGATTTTTTTTTAATCCCCCAAGATCCAATTTCCCAACAATATGGCCCCTCAGAGCTCATACTTGGAGAAGCTCTGCTATCTGGGGATCATGCAGGTTATTACTAAAGTCTTTTGGTTAGACGGAGTAACAAGTAAACCCCAGAGTAGCCCTTTGGTGGGGATGACTATCCATAAAAGACAGCCCCAAATAAACCAAATCTTTGTCATACTATAATGGATACCCATTGACCATAAGGGTGGGGCGAGAGCTTTCTCCCATTGTGGTTCATGCTGCACCCTTCTCACTCCCACTCCCATTTAACATTTGTCTTTGGGACAGCTATCACTGATAGGAGAATGAAAGGATCCATATTCACTCTTGCTTATGGGACTGGAGGCCATTCTTCTCTACTGGTATTTCTGAGACTGAGTGAGGCCAACATACCAATGCTGACCATAGCTGCATGGATAGGTCTACATGAGACAGTAAAGCATAGGAATGATTTAGGGAATACAGACGTTTTTGTATGGAAAGGAGAAGATGATTCCTGAAGGAGAGTGGTATTTAGGACACAGAGACTTGAAGAAGCAGGAGCTTCAGGGCGTGTGAATGATCTGAGCGCAAGTGGGTCAACTTAGGGGTGACACAAGACTGCCTTGATAGCTATGGGTAGGTCAGGCCCCACACAGGGCCAGGGGAGCCTTCACACAGACTGTTATGTGAATGACGCTTCCCTGAGTTGTGCAATGTGGCAGCCCCGCACAGACGATGTGTTCCTTGAGAAAGCCTAGGCCTTAGATGCCTTCCCTTGGGAGCTGAGAGAGAGTTTCTATTCACAGTTCACCAGAAGTTTGTCCAGACTAAATGATCATTCTTTTCAGTTTTCCCTAATTCCCCCCTTTGTTTTTTTGAGACGGAGTTTTGCTCTTGTTGCCCAAGCTGGAGTACAATGGTGCGATCTCGGCTCACTGCAACCTCTGCCTCCCAGATTCAAGCTATTCTCCTGCCTCAGCCTCCCGAGTAGCTGGGATTACAGGCATGTGCCACCTCTCCTGGCTAATTTTTTGTGTTTTTAGTAGAAATGGGGTTTCACCATGTTAGCCAGGCTGGTCTCGAACCCCTGAGCTCAGAAGATCTGCCCGTCTTGGGCTCCCAAAGTGCTGGGATTACAGGCATGAGCCACGGTCCCTGGACAGTTTTTCCTAATTCTTCAACAAAGAAATTTGCATATAACTGCAACTTGGTGTGTGAGTCTTGTGGTGGCCAAGGAAAAGGAGGGGGAGGTGTTGTCTCATCTCCACTTCTCCTGAATTCAAGTAGAGAAGGGATAATGACCTCTTGGAATGAATATGGTTCCAAATACTTGGGGTGACCAGAGGGGAGCCCCTGAGTGAAACCTGTGGCAGAGTACCCTGAAAGGACATATGCAAGCAATAGCATTTGATCACGCCCTGCAAATACCTACTGAGGCCACACTCTCCTGAGGTGGGATGCAGAGTCTAGGAGAAACTCCATAGTTTCAGTCCTTTTTGCTGAGGGCTTGCAATATGCCAGGCAGGCTATTAAGGGTTTAGATTTACATTCTTGGCCTTCAACAAAGATGATGGTGATCCCTATTACTGAGGGTCTAGATTAAAAGAAATTTTCCAGGCTGGGTTGGCAATGTTATGTCCTGGTCCCTTCTAGTTCTGACATCCTATGTCATCTGCCTGACAGAATTTTCAGAGGTGCTCATTAGATTCTTCTTGGAAGAAAACTTTGCTCCTGAAGAAGAGAAACTCAATGTTAGAGAGAGGAAAAGGCAAAGAAAAGGAGGGTTGGGGCACAGATCACAAAAGTTTACATTTTATAGCTCTGTCTAAAGCTGAATCTTTCTTAGCTTTTCTTCCAATATTGCTGTAAACTTTTCAACTTTCCCACTCTGAATGTTTTGAGGTCTTCACTCCTTTTCTATTTCTCAGCCATTCACCCTTCCTCTAAGACTTTCCCCAGAGTCCTCTGTGGTTGATGCCCTGCCCTGTGCATGCTTCTCTCCCTATTGCATGACCTCAGGCTGTACAATAGCATCAAGCATAGCCTTGATGAGAAATAATCCGCACTCAAGGCGGGATGTGTGGGAGAGGGGAATATCCCAGTGAGGCTTAGCAGGGGCTTACATGTGGTGAGAATATGAACATGGAACAATGCAAAGAACCCTGGATCTGGATTCAGAATCCTGTGGCCACAGCTCTGGCTCTGGCCCTGACTTGCCACGTTACTTCTGGCAGGCCATCTGGGTGAACTGAAGCTGGGTGTCTTCACTTGCAAAATGGGATTTTCAAGATGACATTTTAGCTCCTTTTTCCAATTGTTGATATGTTATAGCTTTTAAAGACTTAATTGTAAGAATCACCAACTCTTTCTCCCCCCAGCATCCATGTCTCACTTTGTAATCTCATCTCCACTTAGGACTTGGAATCACATGTCTTTCCAAATTGGGGCCTTAGTTGTCCTGTGAGCTAGATGACATTGGTTTTCCACTTTAATTTTGTCCAGAGACTTTGTTATAATGATTCTATCCTTCTTCATCCCTTCCCCATCACCTGTTCATTCCTAGTTAGGAAGATACTCTTCTATGGACAGTTGGGTGGGGAGCCTGAGAACTCAGATGCTGGAAGCTGAAGCAGTTAGGAAGGGCTCTGAAAAGAAGGTAGAGGACGGGCACCAGTTAGTAATGGCATCAGTTGATTCCTCAAACCTCCAATTATAATTGCCATGAAAAAGTTTTCCATTTTCCTCCCAGCAATTCAGGCAAATGACCTCAAAGAGAAGAACCTCTTTTCCTTCCAAATTATGACTATTAACTTTTGCCTTTCTGGTCCACTCTCATCTTTATTCTTTCCTAACTTCTGTGGGCCGTGACAAAATTGTGCCAAAGCGATTAGTGGGTTGCTCCATGAAGACCCCATAGAGCTGGGTCTTTAGTCTTTTTAGACTAGCTGAGTGCAGCTGATGTCTCTGTGGGAGCTAGAGAGTGAGGAAGGGTGGATTCTTCTCCTTCTTCTTCTGAATGACTTCTTCCCTGCCCCATGGACCAGAGGAGGGGAGTTGAGTGGCAGAATGTGTTAACTCTCCACACTCAGGTTGGAAGCTTCTCTGCTCCACACAGACTTCTGCCCACACACAGGTCTTTACTTCTCCAAAGGTCATTCCCTCATTAATGCAATACCTGCCCATCTAAGAACCACCCCTTCCTTGTTTAGCCAACATACTTCTGCTTTAGATATTGTATTAAAGGCCCATCCTGGCATTGCTTTTTAGAGAATAGGAAGGTAGACACTAAGTACTGTCACAAACAAGATCATGGGATCTACCAGTACTTGTTAAAAGTTCCATTTTACAATGAACCCCCAATTCATTGTAAAGGAATATTTTTTAGGCTCTCCTCAATGCCACTAATGAGCATGCGCAGCCTGGAGAAAGTGCAGAAGAAGACTGTTTATGTTTAACTTGGGAGGCTGCTGTGGTTCTAGGAAATGGGAATGTGTATCAATTTGCTTTGTAGAGGAAAGCAGAAATTGAAGAAAATGATCCATTAAGAATTATCAAATACTAAACCCTTTTGGTAAGATATTTGGTGCATCTCTTGGCATCTAGGAAGAACTGACCTCAATTCACCCCATACAGAAAGATCTAAGGAACTCCTTATCCATGTTAGGGTACAATTATCTTTATAGTCAGAAAATTTTCCTTACAGCTTCAGTTTTCATTGCTTTCTCTTATTTTATTTGTATCATAAAGCAACTGAAAAGATTGTGCCTCCCGTAGTGTATTTGGAAGTAGCCTTGGATGAGCTTCAATATGGTGACTTTGGTCTTTCCTTCTCTGCTGTGAATCATGTTGGATACCTTCAACAATCAATCATCCAAGGATTTGCAGATCATGGTGGATGGGAGGCAGGACTAGATTGCAGCTCTGGACAGAGCAGCATGTGGAGGCTTGTAT